AGGGAAGATTCAAACGATTTTTCCGTCGAGATACAAGTCAAACCTTGGGTGCGCGAAAGAAAGACAGTGGCCTCTGTTCCTGTGTTAGAGTTTCCCGTAATTTTTAATACCTATAGTTATCAGCATATTTCTTAACTACAGCCAACCATGGGACTTGAATAGTTAGCTTATCGCATGAGCCGAAAATAAGAAAGTATAGATTATTCTCACGGCGAAACCGCGTGCTCACTGTAACTTAGAAACAGAACCTCTGAAACGAAATTCGAATGTTGTCTGTTCTGTCCTGCCTATTAGATCACTTTTTATGATTTTGCCTTTTTTCTGTTTATTCCTGTAGTCTGTTTTAACTAAGAGATGCCTCAATTATTAGAATTGTGGCGGGTTGTGCCAGCTTTCCACAAAGTAACTAATGCATTGCTTACTAAACATTTGTTGTTGTTCCTGTTGAAGTTATTTAAGTAGATTGCATTTTTACTGAAAGTGCTTGGATGATTTTTGACCGTAGGGCAGTGGAACCCAAGTACATGTGCGAGGAAAAACCATAGAAGTCCAGGTGAAGGAAATTTTGCCAGTGGACGTGGTGCAGGCTTCTAGTTATCCAGGAAATGACAGGCTAAAAGTGAACATGCGCAAATGCGTTTTACCCTAAACTAATGTTACCTGCACTAACGTACCCTTTTTCTCTGTTCTCCAGGCGGTAGAAGGGCAATTGACAACACCCAGGGCTTTCTTCTCTCCCGAATTCGAGCCGCAACTGGAACCAGCCCTGTCTCGAACTCACCCCAGTCGAAGGCAACTTCCGAGTCGCCAGAAGCTTCCTCTGAGTTCTTACGCAAGCGCAAGACTTCAGAGTGAACACGCGTCTACTTCCTAGATCCTTCATTCTTGTCATCATTACTGCATCTGTCCTTCTACCACTCCTCTGTCCTCTCCCTCTTACCATTCTGTGGATTTTTTGTGCCACCAGTCAGAGGAACGAAATTTTAGTCCTTGTTGTAGATCATCATTGCCCTTGTTCCTTGTCGGGGCTGTAAATTAGCAGCATAATTTAGCCCCAGAAATGTGTCCTGCCGATTTATTGGTTCGTCTGAATTCAAGGTCATCTCTGTGACTTGTGCTACCCGACTATAGTTACTTTTTTCTGCCTAGAAATCACTTAGTCGACTAATTGTTTAAAGGGCTATGCTATATTGGCATTATTTGTTCATGTTGTGGCACACGAGAGAGCAGCACAGTGTAGCACAGAGTAAAATTCGTACGAAGGGGCTCACTCGCGTATCCATAGTAATGAGGCATCCTCTAGCGAGGGCTTACTGTGAAGTAGACAGTTTGCATGTTCTCACAGGTAAGCAGTAGAGGCCTACAACGTAACAGTTTCAAATTTTGCTGGTTACTGATCTGATAACTTGTCTTCCTGTAAAAGCGCGGCGAACCAAAGCCATATATCAAATGCAGTCCAAAAGTTTGCCATTGCAGTTCTCACCCTGTGGATTAGGACCTCGTCGCAAAACGGTCTGTGCCACATGCTTCGTTTAAAACAGTCCTGTGGGCGTTTGACAGTTCTTGAACACAGGCGCCAGCTAGACTGGTATTGGTAGTAGTTGGAACAACAAAATTCAATCATCGTTAAGAATCTTTAGTCCGCAGTCGAATTTCTTATTTTATTTATTTTAAACTGGTTGGCTGCGTTCAACTCTCCTTGTACGACTGCCTTTTCACTCAATACTTGTTGGTTGCCGCGCAGCCGTCTTCCAAGCCCCTGACATAAGACTCCCATACTGCGAGAGAATACTCGTATTCCAGGATCCAGTGATCGACCATCTGTCTCCTTTACCAACTCCCATACTGGTAAACCTTTCGACTACTTTTTGGAAGCCGGCATAAACAGCGGGATTTATTGATATCAACCAATTTCGCGACAGCTTCTCAGCTGCTACTTGTCGCTGCATAAGAAAGATAACGAGGACACATAGAGCAGTTGTGAATTTCACATAATTACTGGCAACAGCAAGGAACGTGGGTCAGTTTAAAAAATAATCGATAAAGGAAAGGGCATTAAGTCAACATACAGGAAGTAGTGGGTGAGGGAAGTTAACGAAAAACACTTGGGAATTAGATTAAATGACCAATTACCAGGGCAATTGGAGGTTGACCACATGGTCAAGCTGCTTCAAACTTTCGACTACGGTTTCATACTCGTGAGACTGTCTCCTAATCTCTAGCATTTATACCCCAAACAAAACGGGAGATCGTTTTTCGTCGTGAACTTAAGTGAGGTTGATGCCCACTTCTTCGTAATCTTCCATACTTCGTGTCATATCCCACAGATCGTGATCGAGCGGTGAACCTTAAGATAACTAGGATCAGGCCAAACATAGGGCACACCCTGATGGCCAAGAAGGGGTTTTTAATTTAATTGGGATCCACACATTCTTGCCTTTTGTGTGTTAGCTGTTTTTTGGTCTCCCAGTCTCTGCAGTTGTAATGTGTGACGGGGTTTGCAGTCATGAGTGTGTCGTTATCACCGTGAATTTTTTTTTTTGGAATTAATTGTTTGTAGCAGTAAGTCCGTTTACTTCGATACTGGTGCTTTCGTCGTAATGTGGTTGACTGCAAATTTCCTAGCTTAACCGTCAAATGAAACAGAGCTTTGTATTTCGTCGTGAGATCAGATTGATTTGTGACCTTTTATTCCCCGTAACTGCGCATACTCCTGGTCATAGTTGTCAGGTTGCAATCGAGCGTTAAACTCAAGACCACTTTATTTGCCCCCAACTCTAAGGTCTGCACAGCCCGGTGCTCCTGTATGTCTACCTAACGTTGACAATGTAGCTGGAAGAGTAATTGCAGTCTCCCCTGTTAAGTTTCCGGTACCAACTTACTTCCGAAAAAGGCTTAACAGTTCGGCCGTCGTTTTCGATGAGCTCCATTGTGTGCTCGACAACAAGTTGGTGCAGGGACGGTGACTTGTGTTGAATAATTATGAAGGTTTACTTTTGCTACATATAACTCATTCTCTCCCACATTGGCCTGCTGTCACGAAGACCGGAAATGGGAGAAAACGTAGACCCACGCACCGTGGTTCATCACAACTAGAAAACCACAGCAACGTTGGGGGGGAGGG